CAAGAATTCTGAATGTTGCAGATATTTTTTAAGAATGAAACATTTAAGATCCAGCAAACTCCACCTTAATAAAGGGGTACTGCATGGTCTCGCCTTACTATGTCATGCAAGTAAGGCCAAACCTCCTTGTCCTCCTTGTTTGCCTGATTACACAGGACAAAAGGTACTATTTATAGGGCTATTATTCCAGAATGTTCAGGGTCTCTTTAAGGTGTTTGAAGTTTCCCCTATACAGTAATTTTGAAATGTTAACATACTTCACATTCCGGATCTTCACATTAATAAAAGAAAACAAGGCAATGTTTTATTGTGATACTGACTGAATGTAAGCATAATATTGTAAAATGGTACCATTATTTTATAATCCCTTTCATATATTCAAATTCATATCCTTTTTTTTTTTTTTTTATAATTTCCATGATACTCAAATTGTTATTTGAATATCTGACCTATCTTCAGGTTGTGTGAACATTTTATTTATCAAGGTCATAGCATAACTAGCAGCAGTTTTCCCACTTTAAACTGCAACTTTGGGGATGTTTCCCCACTCATCCAAGTGGCCTCCTCAGTTTAAATGAATGTTGAGAACTTCCCCAAACATTTATAACCACACAGAAAACCGAATCACCTTAATACAGTTATAATGGTGTCATGAAAAGTGTCAAGACATATAATGATTGTCCAAGAACATGACAGTTTGACAGTGAAAGTTTGTTTGAAAAAACAAAACCTTCTTATTTACATAATCCAAAATGGACTCTTAATTGGCATTAGATGTAGGAATTGAGATGCCACACCAATTAAAATAGTCCAGATACAACTTTATTCCACTAGGGTCAGGGTACAATTGAATAGAATAGCCAACACTTTTCAGGGGTCCAAAAATACCCCCTTCATTGGGGCTTGGTGAGAGAAATCCTGCATGTGTACTAAAGTCTGCATCTTATAATTTGTTTTGAGTTGTGATGTGAAAGCTTCTGACTTGTCAGCAGCTGGTTTGGCAGCCAAAACCAAAGACTTTAGTCCACATACATGATTTCTCTTACCAAGCCCTGATGAAAGGGGTGTTTTTGGACCCCTGAAATGCTTTGGCTATTCTACTCGTTTTTTCCCCTGACCCTAGTGGAATAAATGTGTACATGGACTATTTTAATTGGTGTGGCATTTCAATTCCTACATCTACTGTATTCACTGTTAAGCCAAGATACTGTAAAGACCCTTAGGCCAGTGATAGCTGACTATCCATTAGCCAGATTCCACATATTTACATCACTTAACCACTATTGGATAAAAAAACCCCATAATAATCACTCAGATCCAGCGCTCTATTTCCACTTCTAGATTTTCTCACTTGGCATTGTCAGGTCACGCTCTAATGTATGAAATTTCAAAAACTCTGCAGTAACCACACCTAGACATATTTAGTCCTAGTTCCAAAACTATTGACATCATCAGAATCTATAAATATGATTGGAAACGAGAATGTGCTTAGTTACCATTTCTTCCTTTATGCGCTCTGTTATTTTCTCAGTAGCTTCTTTGTGGGCATTAAACAAGCTGATTACACTTGTTTTGTCTGGATCCAGAATGTTTCCATCTTCATCCCGTACAATCAGATCAAGTTCAAGAATTCTGTAATCATAATATGTGTCAGTAACAAACACTGCATGATCATGTAGATCAAACAGCATGCATTTATTTATACAATTTGGTAAGCAAAAGCATAAAGATTAGTCATGCAGGCAAACTGTAATAGTTTTTTTTCACAGATTCTCATGCAAACACACAAATGTTAGTGTTCAAGCCTATGAAAACAGAATTTTGGAGAGAGCAATGAATAGTTAGAGCTTCTGTCGGGTTTTTATTTACATCTTTGTCCCTATTGTGCATTCTGTATTTTCTCTCACGTTCTGTCAGGGCAGGAAGTTATGGGTAAGCTCTCAAACATGAACACAGACCAAAACAAAAAATTGGGAAATAGTAAGAACGTTTATGTCCGCCTGTCTCAGTGACAACTGCATCCCTTTTTTCTTGGAACTCACATGGACAGGAAGTGAGTGAAATACCCTCAATGTGATCACAGACAGAAATGAAAACCTGACAGTAACATGTTTTTTTGGCCGGATTTTTCGTTTAAAGAACAACTCTAGACAAATATATAAAAGCACCCTCAAGTGATGCAAACTGTGAAGCTCCAGCACCTGAAGCCAACATATATCATGGGTTAAACTTTTAACATCACTAATATCATGTTTAGCACCACCATCTTTTATGCATTCGAGGAGGATGTGCTCACAGCAAGGGACAAAGCCTGTTTTAAAAGTTTAAGCAGTTGCATTGAAGGTGATTTACCAAAGATATTGAGAATCTTCACAAAATAATTGTGTAAATAATAGGGATGCACGGATAAGTTTTTTTTTTTTTTAATAGAGTACAAGTACCGATATTTTTTTTCCGGTATTCGCCGATACCGAGTGCCCCGATTATCAGGCTTCCTGATTGCCTGGGAAGCTGGTGGTCTATTGAAAGAACACCGACTTCACTTGCTGAGGCTTGCCTGGCTTTCTGACTTTCTAGGTCATTGCGTGACGCCCAGCTTCCTGATTGGTTAGGAAGCCAGGCTGCCTAGCAACAAGTGAAGCCGGCTTTCTAGATTGAAACCAAATCTAAGATTTCCAACTTCTTGAGTGAACCAGCCTAACTGTCTCCTAGTTACCTGAAAGGGCTTTCATCCTGCCAGTAGAAGAGTTCCAAAAAAAGTTTAACAATTTATAACTTCTATAGTGCGTTACACAGTTATGATTGCTCTCACATAGAGATTTAAAAAAATAGAAACATGCTTTGAAAGGGATATGGAGTTATTATTAATCAGGGGTTCTCTAAGACCATAGCAATTGTTTTTTGTTCTATTGTTGAAAGAACAAAAGACATAGCGATTCTGATATCTGTGTTCAGTCTAGTTGATCCAGTCACTATAAACTGCTGGGAAGGTCCAGGAAGTTATAGGTCGTGCTAAATGAGGCTTATAGTAGGGAAAGAGAGCTCATAGTGGTCATAACCAATGGAGTTATACATAGTATAAATTCAAAGAACAGGCAGATAATGGACAGTGGTATGGAGTCTGCTACATTACAGTCCCTGGAAAATGTGACTCTCCTTTATGGCTTATAGCACAACAGAAGTGGGTGGATAATAAGTATATATACTTATAGTATCAAATCTTTTGGCAGGTAAAATAGTCTGAATATACGTGATTAGCATAAACGGGTTCTCTTTTGTGGTATCTCCAGTACAGCTGAAGTTAAGCTATAAGCAGCTTGATAATTATTTCACAAGTGGCATAAAGCAGGTAGCAGATATGTGGCTAGCCATGGTTTGGACAGATGCATGTGATGATTTATGGGTATTAAAGCTCCTTACCAAAGTTATTGCACTCAGAAAATTTAAATCAACTTAGCCTATCCTTGCCATACCACAGCTACAGGTAGAGTTGAAAGGCAGCATAAAAACTGGTACTAATATTTCTCAATAATTAGAATAAACATGAATTTTAGAGCAGATATATAAATACATTATTATATTAAATGAGCTTAACATGTCCATTGTGTCTTTAACAGAACAGATATCGCAACCACTCTAGTGACAAGGTACAGTAGTATTGGTAATATTACAAACAACATACTTGTTACCATAGTCGATTTTTGAAGTAACTTTTTGTTTGAGCTCTTTCAGCTCATCTTTAGGCAAGGTACCAGAGAGAAGCTGTGAACGCCATTCCATCAAATCACACATCATCGACTGTACCTGCTGGAATTTTTGCTTTTTGCTTGCCTGTAAAATCATAACTTTTATAAATTCACAGCTTGGTTTAATTGCAATATTATACTAGCAGCTAGTGCGAATGGTAAAATGAACGAGACTTTTCTAATGTCAAACAGAGCATGGTTTTCAACTGCCTATCTTAGGATAGGCTTGCTATTTTTTTCCTACTTTTTTATGAAAGAAAAGTACAGAACTCATGTACTTGTACTATTTGCATGGGCCAGGAGTTGCCATTTTATAAGTACTTACACAACACCACCTGCAGATGATATTCTGACTAGAGATGCACTATAAGTAGATATATCCTGACTGGAGATGTACTATAATGCTGTTTATTGTGTGCAGTTTATCTATTTTTTGACTTTTGTTTTTCTGTTAGAAAGGATTCACTTTCACACAGGCTGCAAAGTGCCTCCCCCTATGTGATAGTACCAAAGTTCAGTGTAAAAAAAAAATTTTTAAATAAAAACTCCCAAAAAGTTTTTAAAGCCCCCTGCCCCCACATACATGTACATATGAATGTAAACACATGCATCTATCTCTGAAAACAACAATATCACCACATGCCGGACTGAGATCAATAATTCTAGGGCCATTCTTCATGGGTAGCCTTCATGATTAGTACCTTTTGATGTGTCACCTATGGACAATTTTTGGTACCAAAGTTTTTTGCTGTTTCACGGGCACATGCAATTTTAGGGCTTGACACATTTGGTATCTATTTACTTAATGTAACCTCATCTTTTATATTTTATAAACAAATGTGGTATTATATTGTGATTGTGTGCACTAACATTAATGTTAATGATTTTTTAATATAAATTGGAATTCAGGTTTTTATAAACTGTTTTGGTAATGTTGTGTGACATCAAAAACTGCAGCTGCACCATTTTATTTCAAGTGTGTCAAAGTGCTTTCAGAAAATATCTAATCTGAGGGGCTTTAAGCAATTATCAGGACTAAAATGTGCATTTTAACACGTGTGCAAAAATGGCTCTGGCAGTGAAAGGGTTAAGATGTATGCAGTTTATGTATGTAGTGAGAAACAAGCTTGAGGGCTTGTTCACACCAGCAGCCATGCTAAGGGCCAATAATGGAGGTTTTTGTGCCAGCGCCCTCCCTCAGAAGGTCAGGTTTTCCAGCAGCCTTTTGTCAGTGTGTATGGAAAAATTGAGTAAATAGGGATAGCTGACAGTGGGATTTCAGGGAGAGATTGAGCTTCTGCTATACAAACACACACAGAGGCGTGTAGCATTATTCCACTGTTATATTTTATTGTATTATTTTTAAATTATAATACAGTGGGATACTATTCCAAAGAAATGCCCCTCAAAAGGCTTGTATAGCAACTGCTTTTTGCACACCGGCTCCACAGCCCAACGTTCATTGACAAGAGACTGGATACAAGACAGGAGATATCCTCTAACCTGTTTACACAGTAACTTAGGGCTGCTGGCATGAGCTCACACCAGAGGCTGTAACACAGCTCTGAACACACAACACACTTTGCGACGTCATTAACACAGTAAATTCGTGACTGGAAAGTGCCACAATATGGAGTCCAGTGACCGAATGTCACTTTCCAAGCTAGCCCCATCCATTCCAGTGGAGTCTGCCAATCCGAATGGTTGCACAACTAGACTAGCAGCTTGTAGGAGAGTCTTGCGTGAAGAAAATAAATAACATTCTTGAATATAGCAAAAAATGGCTAGGAAATTAGAATTTTTTTATTGATAGAGTTTAAATTACTTAGGGACATAGTTAATAACGCTAAAAAAAAGATTGATTTGCATCAAATGTAACCTCTTACTCAACTCAGCTCTTGCATATTGGGTCCAGAGGATGGAAAAAACAAAATTCTCTGGAAGTAACACTATTTAGACAACTAACCATACTCCAAGATAAAAAAAATACCAACATACTACAGTCATAGCTTCTTATCAGTGTGTTAAAATATGTGATCTTTCATATTAATATCGCCAATAACTCCAAAGTCCTCCACATGACAAAATGATTTCATTATATATTGCAAACATCACTAGCCAATGCTGACTTTAAAAAATGTTATGGCTTAAGTATTTGTCATATGATCAGTAATCAGTAATCTGCAATAATAAAGAAATCATATTTCTTACCGAATACAGCTGTTTCCAAATGTTGCTCCATTCCCGTAGAGTAGCTGTAACTTCTCGCACTAATGGAATTTCAGCTGGCACTATGTATTCTGCATTTCTAAAAAGACAAACAGAAAGATCATTCACACTGGGGAAAATGTAATGAACACAATTGCGTATCAATTTTTTTTATTTTGCAAGTAAAAATATTAGCATTAAACTTTGAGTCTGTTTTGCGATCAAAGCAACAGTTTTAGTCTTGCACGATTGTGCACCCAAAAAGTTACTGTCTGCCTATTTGTCTGTCTGCCTTACTTTCTGACATAACTGTGAGGTAATTAAATTGTACATCTGTCACAGAACACAAATTGCTAAGTACAGATATGCTCATTTTCAATGTATTATTTAAAATACATACAGATTATATCAGTGACATGTGGTACCTTCCGTGCTGGGTGAGGCATTCCCCAGCATGCCCCACCCCCAGCCTGCCAACACCATGTCCCAAGCCTGCTGAGGACCCGGCCCTCCAACCAGGTCACCAAGTTATGTGTGGAGGAGGGAGGGAGGAGCCTCCCTGTCCCTCACTTGCTCATCATTTGCAAAGCATCGAGATCGATGTCCTCAGTGGGGTTTTTTATCTTTTTTTTGACTGGACAGCTTGGACCAATGGCGCTTTGCCATTGGTCCAAACCATCCACAGAGCTCAAGCCTCTAACATAGAGTAGAGGCTGTTGCAGCTCTTGCCTCACTATGTTAGGTTACACAAGCAGTGGGGAAGCCCGCTGCTGTATAACCTAACTAGCTGTCAAAAGCTGGATGCAGCGCCGCCTGTAATTAACATTCAGCACTCCGTCCATGACAGTTAACACAGCCGGAAGGCTTTCCCTTCTGTGTAACCTGTTACAAGACGCTCTGAATGGATAAAAAGCTGTCAGCTTCGTACTTGAAGATGACAGCTTTTTCCTCTATGATACCAAGTGAGGCTCTGCCTCCCCTGACCGCACATCCCTGGAATATACAGTATATATCTGTCCATAACTACTGACAATAAGACAGTTTTGATCAATTTCTCCCATTGCGTGTTTTGGTACAGTACACGCTACTAGCTGATTTCCCAGTAGTACAGTGTAGGTGTTTGATGTATAGTATATGCATAATTTTTAACTTTAACAATGATTATAGTGACCAGGACAGAATAAATCCCAAATACCAACTGATATATCAACTGTTTTATTCTTATTTAACTCATTCTATATGCACATTTATAAGTAAGCATGAACAAATGTGTCTGGGTTAGGTTCGCTGATACAAGATCCTGACACGCTTGTATAGGGTCCCATGGTTGCTCCATAAGATGAATAGCTTGATCCCGTGTGGGAGGGCCTCGGGTACAATGTTACATGCATTCTGGAATTGCCCCGGGATACAACCCTTTTGGGAGGGGGTCCTGGGTATAGTTGAGAACCTGACAGGGGCGGACCTCAGGGGTAACCCAGCGGCCTGCCTGCTCCATTTGACCTACCACCCGATCTCAAAATACAGACACTCATTAACACATCATCTGTTGAATGCAGCCAGAGCCTGTGTACCCCTGAAGTGGCGGGACCCCCAGCCTCCCACAGTCCAGTTATGGCTTGCCAAGGTCCAGGACATCTATCTGCTGGAAGATCTCACAGTCTCACTGAATAATGCAGAAGCTCAATTCAATGCCACCTGGGGGCCATGGTTGTGCTACGGAACCTCTGCGCAATTCCCTCACCAGAGCTCCCAGGATGGAAACTAGGACCTTGAAGGGTATGTCGGGCCCTGCCCGGACCCACTCTCTCCTTTCCTTTTCTGGACTTTCTTTTCTACTGCTCTTCCCTTAACCACGGGATACAGCTATTTTCCAGGGAGAGCGGGGGAGAGCTTCCTGATGGGGACGGAGGGCGGGAACTTACCTGCCACTCCTCTGCCCTGCATGCACGTATACCCCTACATGCTCAGAGGCGGCTCTGATCACGCCGGTCAGCGCTCCCTCTCTCTCCTCCTGGCCGCTCTGAAGCTGCAGCAATAATTGTTAAAGTAGATGTAACCCAACCATTAAAATGTTATATAAATTTTATCAGCTGTTTGCTGATATAAAGGTCTTGTTTGGGCACTGCCCCTGTCTCCCACAATCTCCCGTTTGCAAATCAACTTGTCACATGCCTTCCCAAAGGAAAAAAAAATTGAATCTGATACACATTGCCCAGGAATATTATACTGTTTTACAAAAAAGCCTTTTAAAAAATTGCAGCCACTAACATCTAGGAAATGTGCCTGTAAAATGCAGTTGCATAGGAGTGGAATGCAGGTGGACTTTTTAAAACACACATTCAGCTTGTTATGACTGTAGTGCACATGGAAAGGCTGTAAAGAGGCTGCAAGACATACATCAGTCATATAAACATGTAAAAATCCCTCCCTCCAAAATTCCCCAAGATACACAGTATATTTCTCCCTAAAGGACAAGGATTTACATTAAAAGGTTTAAGTGACATTCAGTTCGGGTCAAGGTCCACCCTTCGTGCTACTTTACCTGACATAACACATAGGACGGAACTGGACACATACACTAGAAGTGATGTACCAGTCAGGACCAGCTATGTTCAGAGCTGGAAGCAGCCAGCTAGGTCCCTAGCAGATGAAGTCACAGGTAAATATATATGACATTCATGGGTGCACATTTCTTGGTGCACTGAACAATTTAAGTGGATTTTATTAGTTGTTTCTATAATGTCATGTATAGTTAAGTCATGTGACACTTTGCATTTTCTCTCTGAGCCATATCTGTAGACTTAAAGATCTGGTCATGCACGTGCCAGTATAGGATTATTATCCATTGGGCCCAGGACATCATGTCTCTCTAGGCTTGCAGCGCAATACTGCAGAGAACGGAGCTGATGTCACAACATTTGCGCTGCCCTCTTAATGAGTGGAGGCCACTGACCACCAGGGATGTGCAATATATATCCCAAAGAAAATTTGAGTAAAATGAAATCTTACATTTTTATTCAGTATATAGCTCAGTTTTTAAATAAGTATTCAAATATACTTATTTTCTCAGCTAAAAAAAAACTTTTTATCTTAAAGCAAATATGTCTTGAGAGAAATATGCATATATTTTAAAATGTCTGATAATTACTATACTGCATATGTTAGTACAACTCTAGGCAGCTCTCTTCTCTCACACATCACTCCGTTCATGGCAAATTCTTTCAAATCCTTTAATGGCTGGCATGTGAGCCCAGGTTCGGGTCACCACTGAAAATAGATCCGACCATCCTGGATCGCCAAGGTATGCAATCCGGGCCGATCACAATCACACAGCAGCGGTGTCCTCAAAACAGGCATATTGGAAGGCCGCTTCCTCCTCGCTAAGACCCCAAGAGGTCCCAGCAAGCGGCCGTCTAATATTGGCTACCGCTGCCCGATTGTGACCAGCCCGGATCGCATACCGAGGCATTCCGGGACGGTGGGACTTATTTACAGAGCCGCAGCTGCCCTACCACCCCAGAGCAACACAGTATGTAGCTTATATTATTCTGCATTGCTGTATAAGGTATTGCTGGGATTTTCAGTTCTCTGTAGCTGATGGTATTATTTTGGATTGCTGTATAATATATTGCTGGGATATGTCGTCCTCTATAGTTGAGGATATTCTGCATTGGTATACAATGTATTGCTGAGATTAGTTCCTCTACAGGTTTGAGTCAGTGGCAGAACTACCAGTGGTCACAGCTGCAAATGGGCCCAGGTGCTCCACCACTGACTTCAAGCTGTAGAGGGTTAAAACCTCTTGTATTGCATGTTTCTTCTAGGATTTCAGCACATAGTTAGTTCAGACAGTAGTATGAAGTGTTTTTTCTAAAATAAATCATCAGTATTCAGGTCTAAGTGCAGGATGGGCACTTTGAGACACACAAGTTTAGTCATCCAGTTTGGGCACTAATGCTCAGAAAGGTTTGTCATCACTGGTCTATATGCTTTAAATGAGAGCGTAAGTGGGCTGAATGGGATCCTGCAAATGTTTTTAAAAGAAACAGATCTAAGGATGGGCACACATGGACAATTTTTCATAGTGTAAATGTGTTACTAAAATTGTGCACAATTAATTACTACACATACAAAACATACAGTAGCATGTAGCAACATTTGATCACACAAAGTTGGACCAAAAATCACCCATGTGCACCCAGCCTAAGGATTATCCTGTCCACTCCAGAAATGTTTTCTCACAAGCTGTTATATAAATGGTACAATATCATGATTACTTACTCTGACTAGGCCAGCATTAAGCCATGCTGAGCTGACAGTTGCTGGTAAAACTACATTTTATTATTACCAACTTGAACTTCCTGGCATTCACAATGTTACGGTCTGGGTTAGTTTAGCAGTACCATGTATGTTAAACAAATGTGCTTCACTCTGTAACAATCAGTCTACTATAAACTCTGCTAGTGTTAGGAGTACTATTGAAATTAGGGATTTACAAAGCTTCATTAACATCTCTGGTGAAATTTTGCATGTCAAGCCTGAATGCTCCCTATTGATCTGAGTAAGAATAGCGTAAACACTGCTCAGCATCTACTTGTACAGTTTTGCAGCAGTCCTTCTACTGTTTAGCTGAACAAGATTATATGCACTATACCGTGGCACAAGGGTAGGGGATGACTGAGGTAGGCAAGTACAGCTGGGGGAAGGGGGTGCATTGGCAGCCTGACTCAGAACTGCTGCTATATGACAAATTGTAAAATTGATTAGAAATGCAGTATGACCCACCAGAAATCCTCTCCATATAGAAACCTCAAGGAATTCCCCTTCTCGCTGTATATTTGCAGACTGGTACTAGCTGTAATTTGTTCATCAGATAATTCAGCTGTCATACAGATTCTGCAAACATCTAAAAGCTTCTATCTTGCAACCCAACAATGTAACCTAATTTATATTGTGGTTCTGCTTGCTTTTTCTTTAGTAACACTGAGAATTGTATGTAAAGTGAGGCCATGCTAGATGAGACACATAGTTCCTCTTTATTATTAGTGTTAACATATGCCATGAATGTAGTGCATGCTCAATCAATATTTTGCCTGCTACCGGGGAAATACATGTGCCAGCATAGCCTTCATTTCCATGTAATGCATAAATATTTATTAACATATTTATATATCTATGGTGTGCTGTAAATTATACTCCCATACTGGCCAACCTACTCTGTATGTTGTGCCATATGTTATGTACTTACAACTGACTCCCTTGCTGAAAAGGACAGCTGTAGTTCTCACACGGGGTGTGTCGGACTGCTGCAAAGAGGGCTGGGGCTCTCACAGAGTACTTCAGTCCTGTCTGCAACTTGCAGCCTACATGGAGTAAAGGATATTTCCACTGGGGCTGGGGGGGCAGTTTCCAAAAAAGCAAAAGGTATGACTTTTACTATCTAGTTGTGCCCTAATATTTTTTCTATTGGTCCTTAAAGTGACATTAAACCCTCAGATTTTTTAACATAAATCAATACTGTAATGTGTGCCTTACTGTAATCCATGGTAGTTTCCCTTCTCTTTGCTGCTCTTCCTTTTAAATCCTCATGTCTTCTCATGCTGGGGGAGAACTTACCTTTGCAGCTGAGTGCCTCTTCCTGTAGTGCTGGCTCAGGTTGTGAACCTGCACACAGACACCATGTATCCATTTCAGAGACAAGGCAGTCTGCTGCAAAACGGAAGTTCTGCCCAGCATGAGAACAGATACGGATTTAAAAGGAAGAGCAGCAAAGAGAAGGGAAACAACCATGGATTACAGTAAGGCACACATTACAGTATTGTTTTATGTTGAAAAATCTGAGGGTTTAATGTCACTTTAAGCTTCAACATGGCTTTAGGAATAAAAATTATTTATTGAAAAGGCCATAAATGTAATAAAATTACAGTGTTACCTTTTTGTCTGAATTGTAACATCCTTGATGTGGATAAAAGATTTAGGAAATATTCCCTGTAGAAAAAAGAAAAACAATGGCACATTTATTTTTTGGATAGATATGTTGTAATACATGTACAAAAAAACCATAACATTAATTCAGTCAATAAAAACTAGTGGTGTTTTTCTCACCAGCTGAATAGGTGTTGTTGCAAAGCAATGGTGAAACAATCATAATAGTGTATATAAACTTCTTATGTGAATAACAAAATGATACAAAAAAACAATAACATTTTGTTATTCACATTAGAAGTTTATATATACGATTATGCATTCTATGAAGACTGTCTGTTATAGAGATTTATGGATATCCCTGGGGTTCTCCATTTATTATGTAGGAATTAATATGGCAGTATATAAATATAATATACATTTCCCACACTATGTTTTTAAACATTTCCCACACCATCCTTCATATATCTTAGCCATGGTCCCTTTGTAGCATACGGTTTATATGGTACCCCTTTTTTAACATGGACCCCCCTCTTTTGTTACTACATATTTTAACATTTTGTTTTTGCCAATTTTATATATAGATGTATTAGATCCAGTTTGTTCAGGACTAGAATTAATTCACGTCATGTATCCATTGAATATCCCGCGTATGCATCCTCCTCGACTCTCCTAAGTGTTAAATGTTTTTATGTATTGTAAGATTTTCTTTGTATGTATATATGAGCCAGAGTTGGGAGGAATCTACCCCAATTTATTGTCGGTTTAAAAGCAAATAAGAGGATTTGGTTCTATATATCAAGAACTGATTCACTAATTGTTTATGCATTCACGGACGTGGTGTTGATTATAAAAGTTGGAAGATATATCTTCACATATTTCAAGGACTTTATTGTATCAAGAAGTAATGGACTTCACATATGGATATGTAGATTAAGTGGGAGTTGTACATCACTTGTGAGATTTAACACAGGATGTTCTATAAGTACACATTTTATGAGATGTACTAGCACATTTTCTTTCTATGTTTATTATGGTTTATAGTGTCTAGACCATTAGACCAAGAGTTTTTTTCTAACTATCATCAGCACAGGCATTGTGCAACACAGGTGTTGTGTATGACACAAAATTATGTATCACTTTGTGACAATTTCACATTTTATACTATTTTTCTCACATTTTAGGAATATTTTTTGAGTTTGTGAAGCGCAGTGCTATTTTCTTTTTTCCTATTTTGTTGTGTACTCACCTATTAAGCACAGCTGCTCTTAGAGTGTTATTTGATTCCTAGCGCAGTTTTTTTCTATCTGACATTAGTTATTTTAGTTACAGTTTTTTTTCTCCATTTCTGGGAGTGGGGTTCCTCCTTAAAATTCCTACCAGACCTAAACAGCCTGGTAAGACTTTTGGGAAGAAGCCCACGCATTTTTAAAAAAATGCTGGTTGCCTGGCTATCATACTGAGTCTCCTGCTTCTATACTTTAGCTTGGTAAATGCATTTCTGCGGGTTAAAACGCGCACGCAGCCTGCGCGACTGCGTGTTGGGCTTCGTAAATCAGCCCCAATGACTCACTACAAAAGTATAGATGAGGACTTCTGAATTTATTTTGACTTTACTAATCTGTGTTTTTATTACGGGTCATTGACTCAAAATATTGAAGCCAGTGGATCAACACAGCAGTCAGATAATTTGCATTTTCTGAACAGGGTAAGCAATAGCTCCATATGTCTCTCATGACAGTTTTACCTAAATAGTAAGCAGAAAATGCAAAAAAAAAACCACATTATTTAATTATGTGTTTGTTGTCTTTTTTACTCTTTATTTTATGCTAAAATCGAAATGTTATGACCTTTGCCATTTCCACTGTTAAAGTACAGCTGTGTCCACAAAAACACCTCAAAGAACAGGAAGCTCTGAAAAGAATATATAGTAAAAGCAGCTTGCTATTCATTAAGTTTTTCTTACAACTGCAATCCACAGTAATCTGCTGCAACACTTTTATGCAGCAACTTTGCCTGTAAAGTTAGTTGCTGTGCAGTTAAAGACTAAGGCTGGGTTCACACCTGGGCGTATTTTTTGGCTCGTTTTTCAGCTCGTTTCTTTCGCGCTTTTTAGCACGTTTTTTCCGTTCAGTGAAACGCGCATTTCACTGACGGTATGATTTTGTTGTTTTCCTTATTTTCTCTATTTTTTAAAAGAAATTTTTTTTCCACTTTCAAACTTCCCGCCGGCTCCGCCCCCCTGCGACGCGGCCTGCACGCAAGGGACGGAACCCGGCAGCCACCGGAGGACACATCGGGGATCGCGGACAATGTAAGTCCTACGCTGTATTCCCGAGTGTGGCTCGGGGTTACCGCTTTGTTAACCCCGAGCCACACTCGGTAATACCAATGGAAACGCGCAGAAAAACACCCCAAAGAAGCTCCTGTACTTGTTTGGGCGTAGGGTGTTTTTCAGCGTGTTTCCACGGGCTGAAATACGCCCAGGTGGGAACCATGCCCTTAGGGAAGTATGGGATTTCACTGTTTGAGCGTTTTACAGCGCGTCGATCAGCCCTGTAAAACGCCCAGGTGTGAACCCGGCCTAAGTTCACCTTTTTGACTATGTCTCATGTTACACCTATATTTAGAGTGTAATATGAAACATGGTCAGATCGTAACCCCAACCCCCCCACTTACCTGAATCGCGGGGTTCCTCTACCCTCTGGCCACTGTTTGTTTTTGAGAATAGCACAGCTGTGCATTGCTCCACCCACACCATGCCACATCATCCATCCATCACGGGAGAGGGGCTTGTAGTTTCAAAGGAATACAAGTGCCGTGACATCGCCACACTTGTAGACCACTAACTCTGCCTCCTGCCCATGTTACTGCATGTCCATAACTTGGTACGGGCATGGACGGGAGGAACTGTCTGCAGAAGCCAGATCATTTACTATCTACTAATCATGGTTGCACAGCTTTACTGGCTTCTATGCAAAGAAATAATAAATGCACATTGTTTCTTTTATGAAGAAGTGTTTTATTTATTTTTTTTAAGTGAAATGTCCTTTTTATGGCACACTTAGTCACACCTACTAGCTGTGATATCATTCAGGTTTGCTCTCTTTCTTCCCTATGCCTCTCCATGCTCCACAGGATAGGACAGCAGGTTGTCTGGATTGTTTCAGGAGTGCACTCCCAAGGATTCATTACTAAGGCCCGGGTCACACCTGGGCGTTCTGCAAAACGCTCAAACACCGAAATCCTATTATTTCCTATGGGTATGGTTCACACCTAGGCATATTACAGGCCGTATAAACGCGCTACAAAACGCCCTGTGCCCAAAGCAGTACAGGAGCTTCTATGGGGCGTTTTTGTTGCGCGTTTCCATTGGGATACAGCCAAGTAACCCTCGGAAACGTGCGACACAAAACGCACAACAAACGCGCATATTCGATACGCCTAGGTGTGAACCCAGCCTTAGACTTTGACATAAAAACCATGGCTGCCTGAAAATAAACCCTTGTAATTATGTTCTGGTGCTTATTAGAAGTATAGAAGTAATTGAAGCTTACCTCGTGTGTTCTCTGTTTTAGCAGATATCCTTTGTACCATTCTAAAATGATAAATGCACCAGATCAGACTGTTAAAATATCTGTTAAACATTCATGTCAGTGACAATAGAAGTTCAATTACTGTATAGCCAAGCCAGACATGAACTACTTTTTCTCCATAACATTTCTTTTAATTATAATAACAAGCTTTTTGAGCTCACTGCAGATTCCTTTTCTTAGAGTTTACCAAGGGACACAGGATCAGTACAATTCAGGAACATTGAGTTATACTTCCGCCTTTAGGAAGAACTGGACAATGGCAAACTAAAAAACCATTGGCCAGCCAAGTATAAGTCCTTCCCACTCCCATGATGCTTCAGTTTTTTAGAAGAGCAACATTAGGAGTAGACCGTAAACACAGAGTGATTGTAACCTGTGTGTAATGATTGAGCGAGTTTGGCTGAGGATCTCAGCTGCGGAGAGGCTTTGTGGATGGCTCAGGTGGGGGGTTCACACTTACACTCTTTAGTGTGGCTGAGTGAGGTTGGAACCCTTAACACATCATATGCCACCACAGGCTGTAATTGCAGAGATAACAATAAGTGAACCTTCCCTCTTTGCAATATTGTGGTTAGTTGGGGCCTGTGGGGATTTGTAGTTCAAAATAAAGTAGTTCACTCCATGAATGCAAAAAACTATTGCAGGCTTATCAAACAGTAATTAGGAGTACTCCTGAGCAAGCCCCCTTTGTAGAGCAGTGTCTCTTTAAACCCCACTGAGTTGCAGGCAATGTAAACAATTACAGGGTCCAGGATGGTACTTGCGGTTTGTTGGGGTATTCAGAGCCCTCCAGGAGTACAGGGCGAAGGATCACTGCTGTGCTGGAAGAAGTCCGGATTAATGCTGCTGGAGTGAAAGGTTCATGTGATGGAGCAGAGGTATGAGCCCTAAGAAATTGCTCAACGTTCTACCTCGCTAGAACATTGAGCAAGTGTGCCTTCCAGGCTTTTATGAGTAGGCAGGTGTGTTGGGGCGGAGCAGTCAGCAGAGGCCCTCCCGAACGTCTCCTAGCAACAGGATGCTTCCGAAGGGCCAGGCTGCTACGCCCTCACTCCTATGTGTGACGAGTCCGAGGGAGACGTCTGGAGGGAGGAGCCGAATATGCAAGCCTGCCGGCCCGTCTCCTAGCAACGAGACGGCGCCGCGGTTCGTGACACTGTGTCCCTTGATGAACTCCAAGAAAAAATATTTACGGTGAGTAGAAAAATCCAGTTTTCTTAATCATTCAACAATGGATACAGGATCAGTAGAATTCAGGAACATTGGCACATCCTAAATCATTCCAAATGAGGGGAGGGCCACAGACCAACACAACGCTAACAGCCCAAGAAGAAAACAACAATGAAAAAAAACAGGGGTTGCCTGCAGCTCAAAGAGCTGCTTGAAGGATCTTGCATCCAAAGATGCCTGAACATCCCTATAACTTAGAGAATGTGTTAACAGAAGACGTGGTGGTGGCCTTGCAAATCTGGAAAACAGATTATTGATGCCTAAGAGTCCCGGAAGTCCTGGAAAAAAAGTGGAAACCTACCCTTAAGTGGGCAAGCTTGGAAAATAACCTGCATGTGACAGATAAGTAAAAGTTCTTTACAAGTTAAGGATTCTAACTCAGACACAAGACTAGCAGAGGTGATGGCATAAAGAAAAGCCATTTTATGTGTTAGGTATCTTTGATAGGTTTAAAAAAACAAACTGTCTTTGAAGAGCTGAGGGAACAAGGTTGAAATCCCATGGAGTCACTGGAGGCTGTGCAAGTGGAACTATGTGAGCTACACTTTATACAAAAGCCTTAACATGGGAATACAAAGCAATTATTCTTTGAAAAAACATCGGTGACGCTGAAATTTGGCCCTTGATGGTATACAAAACCTATTGTTGATCCAGGTCAGTGTGTAGAAAGGTCAGGATCTGTCCAATGTCCTTGCCTCGCACCAGACAAAGTATGCTTGCCACACACAATGGTAGACCTTATGCAACATGCTTTTAGGAACCTATGAATTAGTGAGTCAGAAAAACTCCATTCTCTTAAAGCATGGGCTTCAACAGCCATGTCGTCAAAGCCAGCTAGTCTGAAGCATGGGGGTAAAATTGCCCATAAGACACAAGATGATCTGAAAGAGCTCATGAGCTGTCTGCCAGAAGCCTGAACAGGTTGGAGTACCACATCCTCCTAGGTTCATTTCTATGAGATTCAACAGAATGCCCTCTATCTTGATCCTGCAGAGCAGACAAGGAAGAGCTTCAGAGGAGGAAAGGTGTATATCAAGCTGTACTGATCCCATAGAGCTACCAGGGCATCCACAGTTCCCACTAATGGATAACTGCATTGTAGTCAAACCTGTCCAATTTGTTTTTGAACCTGGAGTCTATGAGGTTCACATGAAATGTTCCCCAACTAAGAGACAGGTCCTGAAACACCTCTGAAATGAAGTAACCATCCTCCTTAGTCCTGCCATTTTGGCTAAGGTAATCTGCTTGCCAATTGTCCACTCCTGGAACGTCCATCTTCCTAGGACACTAGCAAAAAAATAAACGGAAGCATCGTGAGAGTAGATGAGTTATACTTGGCTGGCTTACAGCTTTTGTTTACCAGTGTCCAATCCCTTCAAAAGGTGGCAGCATAACCCAATGTGCCTGCTACTGATCCTGTGTCTCTTGGTGAACAATTAATAAAATATATTATTATATTATTAGGAGTGGAAGAGATTAGCATCATTATTAGGAGTGGAAGAGATTAGCATCAAACAGATAGCAGAACAGATAGAGGCCTCAACATACATGTCCAAACATACATTCTAATGCTCTCTCCACCAAAACACAGGTGGTACTCCACACAGAAATGTCAGTTTAAAACTTACCAACATTTACAGTATTCTTTGACAGAAAACTGTAACATTAAGTCTTCCCTCAGAAACATCCACAAAATCATCTCTGAATTTGTGCTGAAACTTTCCTTCCATCTGGAGGGTGGCTACTTTTGTTCCCCATGGTCCCTGTGTGTGTTGTAAAGTAGCTATCACTCCAAACTCGCTCCCATGATAGACTACAAACTCAGGTTTAGTTTATTAATTTGTATTGAGATTGTAGTCCATCACAGGAGCGAGCTTGGAGTGATGGCTACTTACAACAATTTGCACGATATTCTAATTATTCGAGTTTCACCTGTACATAGTTTACTCCAATCTTTTGTACAGTAAGTATCCTGCCACTGCCTAGCTATGACCCCCGCCTCCCCAGAAAATGGACTGTAGTCATCTTCATGTTCCCTCCCTTGCCAACCCGAGAAAATGTTTGCCAGTTACTAATAGGTGCCGAATCTACTCTAATAGATGCATATATTTAGGAAATTATAGGTCATCCTTACCTTCACAAGTCTCCACAATGTGGACCACATCTCCAATTTGAAGGGAAAGCTGTTGTGGTCCATGGCTTGTAAAATTACAAATAGCTGAAGATAAAAATAAAAGCAAACATTTTAAAAGTGAAAAAAAGCCATTAAATAAAAACTTTAAAATGCAAAAGTCCAATGTGCCAGAGTATGTTGTCATTGTATAGTGCTCACAATTTTAGTGTGCTGCCATAATGTATGGGGGTTATTCATTTAGCTGCCAAAGGCAGCCAAGTGAATAACCGAGCCAAAGTGAAGTGAAGGCTTATTTAATCCGTACATCGGCTAAAATCAGTCGTACATCGCCTTCCGAAGTGCAGAAGGGGTTCGTCGATCTAACATCTGGTTCGGCTGAGCTGAAGCTCACTCGCTCTCGTTCAACGGCAGTGAATGAATAGCCGAATGCTATTCTGCTCGGTACCTCCGTAGCATGCAGAATAGAAAAAAAAATTAAATGAATGAAAAAAATTATTTAAAATTTTTTAAACAAATATGAAAAATAAGAATAAAATGAAAATATTTTAAAGGAGAAACAAAAAAGAGGCATGCTGACCCAACCGTACGAGACGAATTCCCGCCGCATAATGCAGCATCTGACAGATACCAGCAAAATAAAAACAATTGGTTTCCTATTGGACGGCACCTGCCAGAGTCTTCTAGCAGGTCCTAGCCAATAAATAACAACTGGGCGGAGCCGGCTGTGATGCCATGGCTGGCTACAAACCCAGTTGTTGTTGTTTAATGACAGATCAGCATCCCCAGGTCATTTGGGGACGCTGATCTGTCATTACAACTGGGTGGGGAGAGCCGTGAGATCACATCTGGCTCTGCCCAGCTGCCATTTACATGGAGATTGGCCGACCTTTTTCCACGTTCTGTCTATCATTACGGCTCAGCTAAGCCGAAGCATTTGCATTTGGCGCAGCTGATCCGCTTGGCTGCCTTCGTCTGTTGTACGGGCTATAGTGAATAGCCCGTACAGCAGCCCTCAGGCGGCCAAAGTGGGCCAACAGATCAGACAAAGCTATGTGAATAACCCCCTATGTTATCGAAATAAAAATGCTTTAGAGTGTTTTAGATCTGTTGTTTATTACACTCATGTATATAACATTAACACATTACGATGTGATGTAGCCTTAGAGTACTAAGTGTATCCTCCATGTTCCTAATCAGCTTATAGTCTAATGGCAATAGCCATTCATTCACACTCAATTTTGATTAAAGCAAACCCACACAAACATGAGGAGAACATACAAAAAAACATGTGAATAGTACTTCCCCAGGAACAGGAACAGTATGCCAAGCCTACAGGGCAAGTGTTTATTCTTTACTTGTCAAATGCAAAAAAAAGGTGTACATATAAATCTGTATAAAATAAGTCAAGGCAACTGTACTTGCTGTAATTTTTCTTGAAGACGTTTCACTGGTCATCTAACCAGCTTTCTCAATTCAGAATGACTTGTACAAAAATTATCTGGAAATTAATATGGTGAATGTTGTTCCAATCCACATAATCTGTAAATCACAACCAGGTGTTGATTGCAATTGCATAATTGACCAGTGAAACGTCTTCAAGAAATTTTTTTTATTTTTTACCGATACACCATGACATGGATGAATAAGAACCTTCACAGACATGTTTATATAAACCTAAAAACTTGTTTCCCTTCCCACTTAATTGATAAAATAAAAGGACACAAGTGAAATCAGCATGGAATTCTGTATTACTGTCTATGACTTCCAGTGTCAGTCATAGCTTAGCCCGTGGATGAGTTTACAAACATGCAGCCTGTTTGGTTTGGAAAGGGCATAAATCAATGTTGTTGGGTATATACAGGTAGTTTGATGCTACACCCCTAGCACAGCTATTACAATATCTCAGACTATCATTAGTGAGGCGTTTTAGGTATCGCCAAAGCAATCTCAAACAACATTCAATAAAATGCATCATTTAATACTATGATTAAAACTTACTCAATCCACATCATAAAATCAATGCATGGGTCAAATTAGATTTTGCAGTATTATAAATTCATGAAATACATTTTACAAAGAGAAACCCCTTAACTCCTTGTCTTGCCTTGTCGACACATTTTGTTATCGTGCTTCCTCAGTAACCACAAGTAGATTTATGGACACGTGCCTCAAAATTTAACTTGGCCATCGATCTGAGGTGGCATATCCCCTCCTGCTACTGGGGGCTGATGTGGGCGGATTCTTTAACAAAGGACCGCCATCTAAATGGCTAGAAGATAGACCCCCCTTCCATTAATATTCTTGCAATACCTAATTAATACAATGGTTGATCCTTATTTCACTTTATCTTATCTAAAGTAGATAACATTTCAGATGCCTTATTTATTGGTCTCATAGGGATCAATGCAGAACTCCCTTGCTGTTATGTATCCAAGCCAGGATATGGATACTCTAATAATAGAAACCCTTGCTTGAGCTCTCTTTCCCTGTCATTAAAGGAGTATAGGTCCGACAGGAGTCGCTGGTAAGTTCCCCCATGTATGTCCCTGCCTTTCAGGATGGATGGAATTTATGACACTGCAAAATCTAATGTGACCCATGCATTGATTTTATGATGTAGAATAAATAAGTTTTAATCATGGTATTAAATAAATTATGTATTTTATTGAATGTTGTTTGAGATTGCTTTGGCGATACCTAAAACCCCCCACTAATGGTAGTCTGTGGTTTGGAAAGGGGACCTTTGAGTATTGGGGTGATCCTTTCATTCCTTCAGGGCAAAAGGACAGTGTTTATGTGAAGGGGCTCGGCTGACCCTGATACTCACTTTACTAACATTCCCCCAATGCTCCTTGTGCTCTCTAGTCTGGTAAAAACACCTGGTGCTTCTGGGTACATTTGCTCCCATGTGACAATTCTAAGGTCTAGCAGAAAATAGGTAGGTCCCAACACCTTCACATTACAGAGGAGGTTATGTTAACAACATCACACCCCCC